CAGCTGCTATTCTGGATATAGTACCCTTAATGGAGCTAATCAATACAGCCTCTAGCACTTGGTATGCTACCACACTTCTGATAATGTTGGTGCAGAACTACACACACAATAATGCAGCTATTTATCAAGCAGACCCAGCACTGACTTACCCTGATACGTCATCCACTAGAACTGGCCAGACCCCTAGGAGCAGGTGGAGTGCACTGGATACCTTCTATCACACAAAAGGCAGAGACTGCTCTTTGGAATGAATGCAGCTTTGACATGGATTGCTGTCCATAATACTTTTGCTAGCACTAACATGTCCTGAAATGCTTTATTCATTATCATGATATTCCACATAGTCTTGTTTCTCATTAAGAAATTCATTATATAGGCAAGGTCCCATGGAATAAAATAATCTCACCACGTACCCAGAAATAGATGGCCAAATAGAATATGTGCTGCCAAAGTGAGCACAAGACGGCCAAATAGAAAGGTTTAGTAAAAATGAGCCAGAAGACAAGTCTAAAACAGATGGGGTTCTAGGCTATAGCATATAACATTATTTAATGTTGCCTCTATCACACCCAAAATATAAAGCCTAATAATGAGGAGTGAGAGTGGTTCTGCTTTCTAATTTAATAACCACTCATACAATGTTGGCTTCCCAGCTCACAATGTGAGCTCTCTCTGTTCCTAAGTTCTCAGAAGGAGAAATTCTTCTATTACAAGAATATAATAGTTCCCTGAATTGGAAGTCAAGACTGCTACTCTGCCATTTGGTCTTATACCACAGAAACAAAAAGCAAAAGAAGATTTTAGTGATTAAAGTAACTATACAATCACAAAGGCAAATAAACAAAAGTGTTGTCAACAATATTTCTGGACTCAGATTTTCAATAAATTTCAAGAGATCCAATACCTTATTACAAAATAAGTTTTGTGCTACATAGCTTTGCATAACACAAAGGATTATAGGTACCCTTCCTGAACACATTTAAGGAAGGCTAGGTTTTTGGTCAGCTAGGTGAATTAAATAAATCCATTTTAAATTTATGATATTTTCAATTTACAATAGGTTACTAAAAAGTAACTTTGTCATAGGCTGAGAAACTCAACCACAGATGACAGATAGTAGGCTCAATTCATATTTGTTGAATAAATGAGTAAAAAGTTTTCCTAGTAATCCACATTCCCATATAAAAATGGAGAAATCTGAATTTCAGATATATTTTGCTACTTTGTTTAAATGAGTGATTCCCTTCCTTAAGGAGATAACTATCTAGAGAAGCATATAAAAATTCTTAAGCCTGGTAAGTATGAGGTCCTGAGTTTGATCCATGGTACCAAAAAATCCAAAACAAAACAAAAAAATTCTTGAGTAGAAGTAGGGCAGAGCATGTTTGAAAAAACCATATTTACTATTACTACAGTATAAGCTTATAGTCTTGAAAGGACAAGAAATGCTGCTTTTGGCCAAATGTTCAAATCTACTTTGCAACGAATCCTCAATTTTCTAGAACAAGATTACCAAAAGGTTCATACATATGCAACTGCATAGAACTGGGAAAAAGCCATATATGTATACAGAAATGTACTTTGGTCTATGAACTTTGATGAATGAAAATCTATAAATATAAAAATAAAAAATTCTAAGTTATTTTATAAATACTGATGAAAATAGTCTATTTTTGCAAGAAATTCTGATTTCTAATGCTAATAAACCAAATGACCAAGAATAAGAGAACAAATCATTATTTTAGTAACATACATCAATGTCATAGACTTCATACAATATATCTGATAAAATTTTTCAATAACCATTCAAGAACTTTCAAAGCATCTATAGTCCTTCAAAGAGCTAAATTCTTGTTAAGATCATTTTCCCCACCAAACTTATCTATTGCTTACTTTTAGAAAAAAAAAGTTGTTTCAGAATTACGAGCTACTTGCAGAACAGCAAAGCTATTAAATATAGTGTTATGTAATTGAATAATTCTTTAGATGATAGTGTCTGAAATTATTTTTATTGTTTATTTGTCTTTTATTATTTATTACCATCTTGCAGATTCATTTTATGGACCCCAATGTTATTTGAAATATAAAGTTAAGTTTATAACACTTTTGATCCATCACAGATGATTCAAGATAGCCTCATTACATAATATGCAATTTTTACATTGTTTACACCTGAAATTCTTATCACTTAAATCTGTGTATCACAAATACTGAAGAGATATAGAGGACTTCTAGGACACATATTAGTAATGTTTCTAGTACAAAGGATCCCTTGCTTTTCAAAATTCCTCTCTTCTCCCATGGTCTTCAAATACTGAAAGATTTTATCCATAAAGTTAAGTAAATGCCTATTTTTTATTAGCCAAAAGCATATAACAAAAAAATAAAAAGCAGGGCCGGGGATTTAGCTCAGTGGTTCTGCTGCCTGCCTCGAAAGCTCAAGGACCCGAGTTCGATCACCAGTACCACACACACACACACACACACACACACACACACACAAAACTTATATCTGAATATCTGAACACTGAAAATAGCTTGTGACTCCTAACAACTGGGATCCTAGAGAGCTTGAAATCAATTTGCTCACTTTACAGGCAAGTGCAAGGCCTAGAAAGATTAAATGGTAAACATCTAAAGAAAAAAAAAAACAGGTTTAAAATGCAATTATAAGATAACAGAATTGGTATTTGCAATCTGTTTTGTTTGTGTGGCTGTGTTTGGTATGAGGAGATCTAGACAATATTACAATCTGTTTTAGGCAAAAAGGTTTCAGTCAAGAATATATGTAACTTAAAAATCGACTAATTCTACTTGACTTAAATAATTTGTGAGATGCAAGTAGGTGGAAGTGAGTTAATAAGCTTAACTCACCCCTGTATTATTTAGTTTTTCATGTGTTCTAGTGCCTGAGAGTCACAGTCTACAAGACAATATGCTGTGGAGAAGGTAGCTAAATAAGGAGAGAAATGATACTATTTAGAACATGTGCCAAATTCTATTTCTGTCAATCATGGCTTCATATTACCCATCACTTCCTGACATGGCAATAAAAGTCAGTCTATCAATTTGTACCTAATCTGAGGGAGTTCAAGAGACATGTCCCAGTGGCCCTGCCAATAGACAAAGATAAGGCATTAAATCAACATCCAAATTTTGATAGCTAGCCAAAAAATTATTTTTGAAAAGTGACCTAGTTTAAGGTAACATTTTTCAAATTGAGTGTTGTAACCTGATATTGGGGGGAGTCATGAAACCAATTTAGTATATCATAATCAGCACTCAAAGACTCAAACATAAGTATAAAATGGAATATACTGCAAATAGTAATAAGTATTATCTCATAATAAAAATATTTAAAGTTATTTAAATATATTACATATTCACATATAGGTGTATATAAACATACATAGAACATGCATACCTGTCATACTTAGTGATATTACAGGTTTTTTATTGCAACTCAAAATGTAACAATTATATACTCTGAATAGATTTTTTTTTTTGTAAACTAAGAAGCATTGCTTATTCTTTGTGATATGATCACCCATTTAGAATTGGGATCATATGCCACCTTCCAAAACCTATCAAAATGAAGAGAAATACTAATAAACTCAATCTTACACATTTTTCATTTATAGTCTCAGCTCATATCTAACAGCCTTTAATGCAAACATGCAAATATCCTCCTCCTCTTCCCCCTACTCCTCCTCCTCCAATGGTTACCTTCTACACTGCTAGCTCTTCCTTAACTTTCTACCTCTTAATTGTGGAAATTATCTTTGTCCTTGGAACATCACAATTTCTCCTGCACAATTTTCCCTTGTAGGAAATCTATTCATTTGTGTGGCTTCAAGTAATACTTTTATTTTGTCTCTGGCTTACAGTTGCTTATAAACTAGTGTAAAAGGCATGCATTTATGCCTTTTCATGGCCATATCTTTGCATAAACTATTCCCTTTGCCTACAAGAAGGAGGAGAATATAGTTTCAAAATGTCCTTGCTTATTAATAATCTGAAGGGAGTGACTTGCTAAGAAAATCAAACCAGTAAGAAGGGAATTTAAATATGTTTATTCAATTAATCTCATTGCAATCATTACTGAAGCAGTTTCCAAGGGTTGCTATTCATTCAGTAGTTGTAGAGATTTGCCATAATATGGAGAGGGATATTACTTCTACAAAGATAGGGAAATCCAGATGTGATTGCACATGCCTGTCATCCCACCTACCCAGGAGGCTGAGGCAGGGAGGGTCAGGTCAGCCTGGGCAACTTAATGACACCCTATCTTAAAAAAAAAAAAGACTGGAGGAAAATAAATGAGGATGAGAATATCTATACGTTTTGGGGAGCTGAAGGCCTTTATTTTTATTTGGAAAGTAGGGAGTATAATGAGCATGATGCAGAAGACAGTAGTGTTAAGAACTGGGAAAAGGGGTTGGGGAGGGCAGCTCAATGGTAAAGCATCTGCCTTATATGCATGAAGCCATGATTCAATCCTCAGTACTGGCAAAAAAAAAACAAAAAACAAAACAAGAATGGCATAATACTTATGAATGCACTCTGAATCATGGAAAAGAACTATATTATGTACATCATACATAAATACATACATACATAAAATATTTAAAAGGGTTATATATAAATAAACAGAAATTGAATTATGTTCTCACACTCCAATGCTATATTGTATATGGCAATTAAGAGACAGGTTCTCTAGACAGTGGGAAGGTAGAAATCTGGAACTATGTAAAAAAATAAGATCAGGTTTCTGATTCTTAAGAAACTGAAATCCTTAGAACTGTAAGACAGTATGGATAATGATCACATAAATCTTGAACATTCAGGTAACAGATGTGTTCCTATACAAGCTAAACAAAATATCTCTTTAGAAAAGAAAAGCATGCCTCAATCAAATAACATTGATCAGAAGCTTAAACAATGACATTATGGAGGTTCTCCTCCCCTAGAAGTAGAAATTATCTCTTGTGACTACTCACCTGAATAAAATGTGTTGATTTTGGCAAGTTCCTTTTCACAGGTTTGGAAAAATTTTTCTTCAAACTTGGCAAAATACCTCTTTACTGTGTCCTCATCTGTAACTGAAATAGAAAAAAAAAAAAAAAAAAAAAAATTAAATGTTAGAAGGACAACTGGGAAAAACAAGGAAATAAAAATTATTACTCTCAAAAAAATTATTACTCTCTTATTCTTCAAAATGACAACTATACATATATTTCTCTGAAGAAAAAAAAGACTTGTGAACTATATTAAATGAAACTAATAAAAATCCTTATCACAAGAACACAACAACAGTTGAATAATATTCTCTAATACTTTACTATCATAACACTTAGGATGCTGGAAAAAAGAAGTGTTCTAAGACCAGAATAAGAAACCACTATACATAGAGGTAATCAAAGAATATTCAAGATTTTGGGAGTTGAACCAAGTAGGATTCATTTAGTAACAAATTAAAAAATTTTTTTTTTATTGAGTTTATTGGTACATTTAGGGATACAGTACAGTTACATTCATTGTTGGGATCATGTACCTTTACATGGCAAGTCTTGATTCTCATTTTTTCCCCTTACCTCTGCCCTCCCTTCACCCCCTCCTCCCCTCCCCATCTACAAACACTTTATTTTCATCTTTTCATTCTCTCACATTTTTTTCTTTTCCCTTTTTGTTCTTCCCCTACGTATCACACCTTCCCTACACCTTTAGCTCCTTTCCTCCCATTTCTAAATGTCAGTAATCTTATTAGAATCTTATGCATTGTTGCAGAATATTCACACCAGGGAAACTATTTGGTATTTACACATGTGGGACTTATTTATTTCACTTAGGAGTATATCTTCAATATGTATCCATTTTCCTATAAATGAATCTATTCTCTCGCTCTTTATGGCTGAGTAATATTCCATTTTATAGAAAAACCACAACTTCTTTATCCAGTTTCCAACGGATGGGCAAATAGGTTGTTTCCAAGATTTAGCTATTACAAACTGTGCCGCTATAAACATGGGTGCGCATACTTCTCTGTGATATGATTCTTTTAGTTCTCTTGGAAAGATACCCAACAGAGGGATGGCTGGGTCAAATGGCACCTCCAGTCCAAGCTCTTTGAGGTATCTCCATATTGATTTCCATAGTGGTTGCACTAGTCTGCACTCCCACCAACAATGGAGGAGGGTTCCTTTCTCCCCACAACCCCGCCAACATTTGTTATTGTGTGATTTCTTGATAGCAGCCATTCTTTGTGGGGGGAGGTGGAATCTCAGTGTTGTTTTCATCTGCATCTCTCGAATGACCAGTGATGTGGAACATTTTTTCATATATTTTCTTGCTGCTTTTACTTCTTTGTATGAGAAATGTCTGTTTATTTCGGATGCCCATTTTTGGATCGGGTCTTTATATTTGGGGGGACTGATTGTTTTGAGTTCTTTATATATCCTTGATAATAGTCCTTTGTCTGAGGTACAGCTGGTAAAAATTTTTTCCCACATTGTAGATTGTCTCTTAGTTCTGCTACAAATTAAATATTTCAAGGAAAGAAGCAAGTTTCTAGAAAAGAAAATTGATTTTACAATATGTTAAATTTCTATCTACCCATTTTTACTTTGTGTGTATCAGACAGAGAAAGCAGTGCAGATTGGTAAGTACAAATCGGATGTCTCAATGTTTCAGGAGCTTGACAGGTAACTTAAAGCAAATTGAGCAAGTGGATGGCTGCAAGTGTGGTGATAAATGGTAAATGACAACTTCAGGATAAGGAATAGTGTAGATAGACTTTTGGTAAATTAGAAAGCATATGTCTGTCTAGATGCTGCCATGTAGTAATATGGGCTCAGTTTGTCATATCTTCCAATATTTTAGGAGATATCATAAATCCATGTATTTTAAAAACACTATGTGGGCCAATCAATATGTATTTCTGTAGACTAGATCTACTTCGTGAGTTCCGTCTTATTGCTTATCAGTCTACTAAATCCCAAAAGCACAAAATACATGTAGCTTCAGGATCCCCAAAACCAAAAGAAAAAATTGTTCTTTAAGTGAGATCTGACTAGACTCTCCTGATGCCAATAATAATACAGAACTATACTGTTTCTGGATCTCTTAGGTACTCACTGAAATATGTAGAGAAAGTACAGTGTTCTTTCTGTACTCTTGGCCTCACAAATTGTACTGCAATCCCATAAACCCTTAAACAATCCACCTGTCTAAGATAAGAGAAATGGTATTTCCCTAAGCAACATAGAACATACACACAAATACAAATTCATAGCACTGGAGAGTCATTTTTTTTTTTTTAAAATAAAGCTTAAAATAAAGTTCTAAAAAGCATCTCAAATCTGTTTAATTACTTTGAATAACATAAATGTAAAACAGCATAACACAAAATTTATATATATATATGTGGTTACTTCTCTATATGTTTTGGAACTATTCACATAATGCAGGCTTTTCTATATTCTAAAGAAAGGGATGGCCACTTTAAATTCCAAATGAAACTTGGCAAATTAGGAGCAAGAAAGGTTACAGCCACACAAGGTCAATGAATACTACTTTTTCAGAGCATAAAGCAGACCTCAGTTTTTTTTTTAGAAAAAGCTGACCTTGAGTTAAGGAAGCTCCATGGTAACAGATGCTGCACTTTTAATAGCATCTATCTAGCTGATTTAAAATAAGAAGAGTTAATATTTTATTTTACTTAATTATCTACTTTTTCATTTTTATTTTATTCACTATTGTTAAGGAAGAAAATTCAAAAGCAAAACATGGGTTTGTTCATATTTACACTTGCTCTATAGACAATTTTTATTAAGAGTGAGATAAAATTATTCAGCAAAGTGATTCCCTTATTAAAACAGTTTCTACTCTTAATTTAAATATATATAAAGGTTTATATAGTTAGGATTATGTTCAACTGTATAAAATATTACCAAAACCTTAGAAATAAAAACATCCAGGCTTCTGAGGAACTAAAAAAATATAACAAACTTTATGTATTAAAACAAGAACACTGTAACATAATTCAGTCTATGAATTCATTTTTTCACTTTAGAAACTGTTTTATCTAAAATATCAGCAGTCTGTAATCATTTTCTAGTCTACAAACAACTTAGCCACAAATCAGAAGAAGTTATAGTAAGGTTATAGCAACACTGAGAAATAATAGCTAACCAAGGGCAGGGGGGCCATAAACAAAATGATGAAGGACAGTGTTCTTGTACGCTCAGATTTCAAAAGACCTAGTAACTAAAAGTGGAAGTACACTATTGGGAAAGAAATTAGAAAAACACAAAAGAAAGAACACAGAGTCAGGAACAGATTGCATATGCTGTATACAGAAATTTAGATTTAAAGGGGGCTTCAAATCAGTGAGAAAAGAGTGGATTTTACCTGAAAAAGTACTTTTTAACATCGTAACCACAAAGGGAATGATGTCACAAAATGAAAAGTCTTCATTCTACCAGGTGCAATCAGTAAAATTAAAACAAAAGCAGAAGACAGGGAAAATATACATCAGCAAAACTCACAAGATTAGGAACAGAGGTGGAGGCTGGGGATTTAGTTCAGTGGTTCCGTTGCCTGCTTCGCAAATATTAAGATCCCTACTTTGATTCCCCAGTACAAACAAACAAACAAAACAAAAAACCCACTATTCAGATGCAAAATACTTTAGAAAATCCTTACAAATCAATAGTACACCATAAGAAAAATGGGCAATTCTAGAGCAACTCAGAAAAAAGGAAATAATACGTGACCAACAAAGATGTTCAACATCCAGATGTAATATAAATGCAACTTTAAAAAAATGAAGTTTAATTTTTCAACCATTAGACTGGAAACAATTTTGAAGTAGTGATATCATTTTGGCAATGAGATGGGTAAATGAATACTCTCTCCCCTTGCCAACAGATATGTGAATTTGTAAAATCTTTTACGAAGGCAATTTGGCAGTAGCTATCAAAATTTTTCAGTATGTTCAATTCCACTTGTAGAAAATATATTCTAAAGAAATTTCTGCACAAATCAATGTATTTTCATATCTCATTATTTTAAACAACATTAAGAAACAGATATTCAATAAAGGGGGATAGTTATTATATTATAGAAGTCACTATTTTAAAACTGATATGAATACTACATCCTGGCATATATGAAAAATCTCCAAGATACACAGTTGAGAGAAAAAAATTAACAATATATACAGCACAATCCCATTTATAAAAAATATGTACATAAATTAACATTCATTTTTACATTCATAGAAAGAAAATTAGAAAGAAGCTTACAAAAATGTCAGTTGTAGTTACCTCCTGTGAAACAGGATGAAAAAGAGTCTCACATTTTGCTATCTACAATTACTATACTGCTTGACTCCACTACAATGTTCATGAAAGACAGAAAAATTGTATTTTATAAATAAAGGGTATTATTAACTGGAAGAGAAAAAGAAATTTTACATCTAAGCCTTTAGGTTATGCATAGCAATATCTAACCAGCATAGCTAGTTAAAAAGACTATATCTGAACTTACAGGTACAGTACACACAGAGTGATTAAATCTTTCACTTTAGTTATAGGAAGTTGACAGAATGCTGATTTACAGAACATCAGTTTCTATTACAAGATGCTTCCTATAATCTATTTCATGGATACTGTAGGAAACCAGTAACTCTGAAATGGAGAACCAGGGAAATTCAGCGTTCCCAATCAATTAGCTCAATTTTCCTATTCTGTAGGTGAAGAAACTGAAGTGCACAGAGTCTATATACCATGAGTCATTTTCCCCTCCATTAACAAGTTTTATAGAAAAATCACTGTATTTTATTATAAGAGAAAGAATATCTACACATTAACTATATGAAAATGAACACTCACTGTTAAAAGAGTACTACAGATTGAACTGTAGCCTCCTCCAAATTCATATGTTGAAACCCTGAATCTCAATATGACTATATTTAAGGATGAAGCCTTTAGAGAAGTAATTAAAGTTAAATCAGGCCTTGAAGTTAATGGTGACCTCACCTATAGATATTCTTGTAGGTGAAGGAAGAAAGACCATAGATCTTCCTTATTTTCCAATCACA